ATTGATATTTTTGCCCTCATATAATTAGAAATCTGAATGTTTAATTTACATTTATGGATTGATAATCATACTTAACTCTTTAACGTTGTCAGTGTTGATGAACTAAGAAAGCTGCTGTCTGACAAGGACGCTTATCAGAATCTGTTACTTTCAGTAGAACCTGTTAAAACCCAGAACAGGGTAAGCTATGAATTTCCAACAAAAGTCGAATGTGTGTGTTTTACCTTTAATTCTAATGCTTTGCATTCCTTGCTTGCCATGTTCCTATATCTGGATATGGATATTGAACAATTTTGATCACCATCTATAGGGTATTCAGGAATTAGGTCAAACTCTTTTTTTTTTTTTTTTTTTTAATTTTTTATTCTTGTCTAAACTTTATGACTAAATGTTGGTATTCAAGGCAGAGTAACCTTCGTAAAACTCAACAGTATGACGATAGTATAGTGCTTTGCCTTGTTTAAAACGAATTAATGCTTCGTGATTAATTCTAAACCAGGTCAAAGATGAACTTAGGAACGAAACTGTGCAGCTTGCAAGTAAGCTCTCGTTATGCTGCACTTACATATAACTTTTTAATGTATAATTTTGCCCATTGGCTAACTAAACACATGAACTCTTTTCAGGAGAGAATCTGGAGAAAGAACCACGAATAATGGAGCTGAGGAATCAGGTAAATTTTTGTGTTCTGTGATTTTATTTAATTTTTTTTTATTTTTTATTTTTTCGCGTGAAGTTCTTCTAATCCCCAGATGCAATAGTGACACTTTTATTTTACTGTTCAGTGCAGAATAATCCGGACTACAGAGCTGGCTACTACTCAAGAAAAACTGCATGAACTAGAGAAGAAGAAGGAAGAGACACTGAAGTATTATTCTCCCTCCTCTCTACTCAATCGGCTTCAAGGTAATGAAATTTGTTAACAACAAAAACCTCTCTGTTTTTCAAACTGGAACATCTATAAATCTTCCATGTCACACGTTCATTTTTTTTTTCTTTTTCCTTTTGCGTTGTTTTTAGATGCAATGAACAAAACTGAAGAGGAATCGGAGGCTCTGCACCGGAAGCTTCTTGATAGAGAGATTGATCTTTCGGATTTCGTGCAGAAATACAAGAAAATGCGTTATGCCTATCACAAACGCGCTTTAACTCATCTTGCTGCAAAGACAACTGCAACTGGCTGAGTCTTGTTGTGCTACTCAAATGTGTTGATTCTTGTCTATTTTATGAAAACTGCCTTCGTACTTAAAAGTACGCGTTGTATGATTTGTTATTGTTGTGTTGATTTTATATAGTTTTTTTCTGTGTGTTCGATTCTATGTGTTTTTCCTATTCAAAAGGTTATTGTGGCAATAAATATTTACAAATTTCTCCAATAGAGGAAAAAAAAAAAAAAGGTTTCTTAGACCTAGTCCTTGAGAGAGTATTTTATTGAATTAAAGACACTCTCTATCTCTCTTCAAATTTTTATTACTCTTCTGCAATGGTGCATCCTTCTTTCCATTTCTACTCCTTTTTATTCTTGTAATGCTTGATTTTTAAATGTATATTCAGTTATTTAACATGACGGTTATTCATCTCCATATTTAGCTTCTCTCCTTTTTTTTTCCACTCTTTTCTCTTCTTTCTGTTGCAGAACATCCTCCATTTTTTTTTTTCTCTTTTTCTTCTTCTTCTTCTATGTGATACACTCATAAAAAATCAGAAAAATTGTTATTAATGTTCTTTCCGTTAATAAAATTAGGGTTCTTGTAGATATATATAATCTCTTTCTCACGAATTTAAGGTTGAAATTAAAAGAATCAAAGCATGAAATTAAAAAAATCAAATCAACGCGTCCGCGGAGGTCGCCGAGCACTTCCCCGACGGTGGAGTTTTCATGAACAAATGCAGTGGAGTTTGATTTTTGGTTGCATCGAGTGGATATTGAAAAGGGGCGCGAATCGTGATGGAACACTAGCGTCCAATTTTCAGGGATTTCGTTGACGGGCTAAGGGCAGGTATTTGTTTGTGGAAATATTGTTGGCTTCTCTGGGCTAATTGAGATAAATACTGGAAGAAAGTGTCATGCGTTAACAAGTTTTTAGTTGTTTTGTGTGATCTTGATCAGATTTTTTTATGACTTTTTGTCGTTCCATTCATTTATTTGTTTATAAAACTGAATTTTTTAATATTTTATTATTTATATATAGTTGTTTTTATGTTGATTGACAAATATTGTATTGTTGTTTTATTGTTGCTAATCTTGTTTTTTT